ACCCTCTTCTGACCTCCATGGTGCACCTATATACATGCAGACAAACATTTATACACATAATATAAAATCTTGAATAAATGAATTTTGTCTCCTAAGGACAACACCAAGCAACGGCTGTATTTTTTAAAGATGTTCGAGGTGCTTCGAATGCCTGGTTGAAGTGCCAGCCTGTTAGTGAGTGCAGCATGGGATGCCCAGAAGACCTCTCACCTCAGAGCTCCCTGCTTGCATTGCTCCTCTGCTAAGCCCGTGAAGCTGTACTTGGCTCCCTCCATGACTGGCTGATGGCTTGGGTCTTGACCACCGCAATGCTCCATGGTGTTTGCCTTTAGTGGGTTGTAAAGACATCGACAGGCTCCATTGCGTGTTGTAGATGATTGTGTGATGTGTGTCGTAGGTGATGAGTGTTCTGTTAAGGTAAAGGAAAGCAAGAACGAGTTGGAGGTCGCGAGGGAATGCTACTGCTGAAGCTGTGTTCGATTGGTAGCAGCAAGCGTTCAAAGGGCAGAGGCTGATCTGTCTGTGCGCCGCTGCCCAGTGAGAGCCGAGGGAGACTGACAGGCACCATGCGAGTGGGGTCTCCAGAGCCTGATTGTAGTTTTTAAAAAGTCAGTGTTATTGTATTTATCTGAGGTATGCAGTATATTATTATGGGGTACATGCATACAGATAGTTAAAAGGTTACTATAATAAGGCAAATTAGCACATCATCTCATATAGTTACCTTAAGAGCAGAAAAAAAAAAAAACAACTCTTCATTTACTGTGAATTCCAAATGCAGTCCAGTTTTGTCATCTGTACACCTGGTGTTACAGCATAAAATCCAATTTTTTAGCACTAGGCTGATGTGTGCACATTTGTGTCTAGAGGCAAGCACTCATGCACGCACACGCAAACACCGTTTGGAATGAAAGTTCCTGATGTTTGATCTTGAGCAGGGAGAGCTTCTGTAACCGCCAGTCCATTTTCACAATGGTACCAGGATGCGACTGGCCTTTTCTCTCTGTGATGATATTTAAGTGGCAACGGTAGAGGAAATGACTGACACCTCAGGACAGGGCCCCTGTAGTCCTCCTCTCTGTGCTACTACCATTACCATTACATCAGACTACTTTTTACGAAAAGGTTAAAAACTTTACTAATAATATTACTAGGTCTCGTTTTTTAAAAAAACTATTTGCTAGCGCACGTGCTCGTGTGTGTGTGTGTGTGTGTGTGTGTGTGTGTGCGCGCGTGCGCACACACACGTCAGACACTTGGGGACCAGCAAGGCTGTCAAATACCCTGAAGTCAAGGTTACAGGTGGTTTGTGAGCTGCCCTGTGTGGGTGCTGGAAAACTGTGTCCTCTGGAAAAGAAGCATGGCCATCGTCCCAGCCTCCAGACCACAGTTCTTAAAAAGCCTGTTCACTCTCACTGTTAGGAAGCAGGTGGCATGTGAGGGGCTCTGTCTCTCACTGAAGATGCTACCTGCAGCCAGCAGAGCCTCGGGGGTGACTGAGGCCCGGCACACCGCCCAGCCGTGCTGGTTACACAGCCCCTAGCGATAGAGTTTGAGGTGTAGCCTGAGACTTGGCTAGAATAGTGAAGTGAATTTTCACGTACATTTCTAGAAAGAGGGAGGAATGCCCTGGCTTTCAAGGGTAAGAGTATATTGCGGCCAAGGCAGTAAGAAGGGCACAGATTCTAGACACAATTCTAAGGAAAATGACGCAATAAAACCTTGTGGCCTAAAACATTTTATTGTCACAGCACTGCTTAAAAAAAAGTTGAAATTCCAAATCATGACATTATAGTCTTGGTATTTGACAGATATTTTCCTGAAAATGAATGGCGCCCAAGGGAAATATTTGATACTGTTACTTGCCAGTGATTGCGGTGGGGGAAAGACAGGAAAAACAAAACCAAAAATTTAATCTTTCAAGTGAAAATTAGGAGTTTTAAAAACTTGTATCTTTCACCATGAATTTGACAGTCCCTGGTACTTAATGACCTCCCCAGTGAGGTCAGTGGTAATGTTAACAGACAAATGTACCGTGTGTGTGTGATGTGTGTGTATGTAATGTATGTGACGTGTGTGTGTGGTGTGTATGTGGTATGTGTGATGTGGTGTGAGTGATGTGTGTGTGAGTGGGGAGGGTTATGCTGAAATTAGCCAGTGCTTTCCAGTTATTGGTCACATAATCACATATAACAGATAAAGAACAGGCAGTCTGAGAGTCATACACTTGATTTTTGGTTCCATTTTTGCACCACCAGCTAGCCCGTTGTGAATTCAAGGCCTGCCTGGGACTCAAAGTGAGACTATTGAAAACACAAAGAGGAGGAAAAGCTGTAGTGATAACTACCACTTGCTGATGCATTTGATTCTGTTGTCTTTTCTAAAAACAACAGGGTCTCGCTAAGGTACCCAGGCTCACTATGATCCTGGGGTCACCTTCCTGACTTTTGGCATCAGAACATAAATCTGTAACTATACTATCTGTAATTTAGTGATGTAGTTGTAATATTTGTAATTTCTTTTTAAAGTAGCCTCCCCTTTGCCACTTAACTTACCCGTGCTTCCAGTGTTTCGCTCTTGATTTAAAACAGTGCATATGACACCCATGGAAGGCAGTAGACTCGAATTCAGCTGAGTCCTACCAAGTCCATGCTAAGATCCATGAAGCTAAAGTGATGTCATCCTCACTAAATCTTTACTGTATAAACGTGCCTATTTTAAATGTCTTACGTAAATATAAATTTTTTATTTATTTTATTATGATGTATGTGTGCATGCGCACACACACCACGGTGCACATTCAGAGGTCAGGGGACAGCTCTGTGGTGTTGGTTCTCTCCTTCCACCTTTTTATGGATTCCCGGCCTTTGACCCAGGGCTCAGGTCTTCAGGCCTGGGCTGCAAGCACCTTTACCCTCAAGTCATCACGCCGTCTCCCCAGTCCTGTAATGGAGTTTTCCATTTCTTTCTGCTTTTCCTTGTTGAAGGCAGAGTCTCTCTCCATAGCCTTGGATATCCTGGATAAGCTCTCTCGCTTTGATAAATATTTCAAAGTGTCTCAGTTTTATTTTCTAATATCAATAATTAATAGGCAGATATATACTAAGACCAAAAGGTTTGGAAGCCATCAATTCCGACAATACACACCAGTGTTTTTTTGTTTTTCTGTTTTCTAATCCATGCTTTAGGGCATGTGTGTGTGTATGAAGTAAATTTTAAAATGTCCATGGAATAGAAAGACAGAGAAGATGAAAGTCAGCATTATGGTTAGTGAGACCCAGGGTTGGGCCACTGGGCCTGTAAACTCCAAACATTAAGTGAGCGAACCCCAAGTTTTAAGAACTTAAACAGGGAAATGCAAGCAAAATGCTGCGGACCGTTTTTTAAATTACAGATAGTATAGTTACAGATTTATGTTCTGATGCCAAAAGTCAGGAAGGTGACCCCAGGATCATAGCGAACCTGGGTACCTTAGGTGGGATATTTCATGGAACCAAGGCTTCATGACATGACCACATTCCAAGCATGACACTTTCCAGATGAACCTAGCACTGATTTCACAGGGACCTGCAGAGGGAGGTAGTGATGTCACAGCAGGAAGACTTAAGATGCCTGGCAAGGGGACTCCCTCCACCCCTGCCCCTTCTGCCCCGCAGACTGTGTTCCTCTGCTGAAAGTGTGGAAGGGTTTTGGTTCATACCTCTCTTCAAAGGGAACATACCCTGTTACTGCAAACTTAGGCACTGTTCAGATCCTTTGACCCACAAAAGACTCAAGTCTGAACCTATCTGCTTGCCCAGCAGCGCCTTGAATACCAGTCTGCCCCTCGCCTGCACGCTCTGAACAGCTCTGAGTAGTGAACAGCCGTGGCGGTGTGAGGAGTGCTTATGAGTAGGTTCCCACCTCACAACAGGGTCATTGCATCCTTGACCTGTAGGATGGAACACTCTGATCCCAAGTGACCTTGCCACAGTCATTCATGTCCCCAGCATTGGCCTCAGCACTGGGCTCACCCTTCCCAGGTAGCAACTGTCAGTGCCTTCCTACAGTGGCCTTTCTGTCTCTGTGCTAAGAAGCCTGCCTGTTCTTTAGAGACCGGCCGTGCAGGCTTTACAGCCTTTCCGTTCTTCGTCAGTGATCTCAAATCTGTGCGAATGTGTTGCCCTTTTGAGGTTGACGTCTGTGAAGTCGTTGTCCTTTCCACAATGTCTGCCTCTCTAAAACCACGCGAGCTCAGCAAGCGCTAGATCTGGTGTCTCCCACTCTTCTCCCGTCTCTCCACATCTGCAGTAAGCCACCCTCCCCAGGACCACCCTGCTGTCTACTGCTGAGCAATCTGGTCAGCCCTGATGGAGGATTTTAGCTGACGCAGAGTGTACATTAGATGGAGTGACTACTAGAAGATATTCAGCTGAGTCACTCAGGTTTACACAGTGGGTGGGGAGCGTTACTGATAAGAGATGTTCTTGAGGAGCAGGGCTGTGTGCAAGGACCCAAGGGCTGGGCAGCTGCCCGCCTGCCAGGACCTCCATTTCCTTACTGTCCAACGGGCACAACAGCCCGTCTGGACATTAACCTAGATGACATCAATGCTAGAAAGGGCGGCATGTTTGAGTATCCGATGCCGCCGCCTCACCTTTGCTCCTTTGGTGTCTGCTTTCAAACTTGAGGCTAGTTTTCAAGGCTTATGTGTGCTGAGATTCATCACATATAAAATGCTATCACTTCCTGAGACCTTAATTTGGCTGCAAAGAATGACACATCTGGACTGAGCTCCTGGTTGCGCTCTCTCTCTCTCTCTTACACATGAGAAGACTCTGGTTTCTCCCTTGTGTGTTGGGCATATCATCTGGGAATTGGAGGCAGCTCACTAATGTAAATGATGAGAGGGAAATAATGTTATATATTAAATTAAAATGGATATATTTCTGTAAGAATTAGTGTGCGTTGTCCTAACTTGTTCTAACCGTCTTGTGTCTGTCTCTCTGTTCTCTTTTCAGGGATCCACATCTTCTGGACCCGACTCTGGAATATGTGAAGGTAGGAAAGCAGGGCATAACTTGTAGTTACGGCTCTGGGTAACAGACTCCCCATTCTAACAGTGCTGCCAAATGCTGCCTGCAGTCTAACTTACATAGAGAGCCGACCATATCACCTGCAACAGCCAGAGAAAATTTGGCTCTCATGGGCCTTTGGTAATCTTGGTAAGGGTCTCTGTCACCCTGTTAAAGGCTATGATCTTTCCCCCACGTACCTCCGATGTGTTTTAAGATTTGGAGTCACGGGTTTGTTTTTGTTTTGTAAGTTCTGGCTTGCACTCAGTAATACCTCCAAAGCGGTCTGGCGTCGGCAACCCTATAATCAAACTCATTATTGTGTCCCTGACATATAATATTCACACTGAATAAACAGCTAACAGAGGGTTTTATGGGTCCAAATCACATTTTGCCACCAAGTGAGGTCATACTGTTCTGTTGTTGAGTGAATTCTTTCTTTGATCTCTTAGTTTTCAGATATGGGGGATTTGGGCAGGGCATAGAAGAGGCATTGTGGCCAAAGCTTTATCTTGAGTAGGGAGGATGAAGGCCCTGGAATCCTAAGAGCTGTCTTTTCCTTTACAACAAGGCCCCCACCTTTCCTCAGTCACTAAGCAGTTGTAATGGAGTGTGTGGTGATAGAGGTGGGGATTATTTCTTCCCTTTTCAATTTTTCTCTTTTGGGGTGTGGGGGCGGATTTCTTCTCTGTGTAGACTTGACCTCCTGGAACTTGCTCTGTAGACCAGGCTGGCCTCCTACTCACAGAGACCCTCTTCCTTCTGCCTTATGGGTGCTGGGATTAAAGGTGTGTACCACCACTATCGGCTTCTTCCTTTTCCTTAGTTCTGAGTACTGTGTGAAGGACTGGGACTATGGCCAATGTGTGAGCCACAGCCAGCAGGGTTTGTGGTGTGTCTGAGCCCCTCCTGTGCACAGCACATCTGTTCGCACGAGGTCATGCACGGCTGAGCAGCGGTGGTATCCACAGAGAGTGTTTGACTTGGCTGTAGCAGAAGACAGTGTGCGCCAGGGCGATGCGGGTCCCACTTTAAAGTCACCCCGTTTCCACGGTCCAGAGGTTGACTGTCCCCCCCCAGAGGCTCAAACCCTCTGTGCTCACCAAGCGTATCCCTGATCCTTGCTCCAGGAACTTGCTTCCCCCTTTTACAAACCTCTAAACCTCTTTTCCAAGAATCCCGTGACGACTCTGCTACAGACCGGCCGTTTTAGGATTGTTCATTTTAGTGCAGAAGCTCTCACCGCTTTGTGGTTTCGCCTACCTACGACCAGCTAGGATTCAAAACTGCTAAATTGAAAATTCCAGAAGTAAGCAGTTCATACGTTTTAAATGTCTGAGTAGCATCTTGATCTTGCTGTGTCCTGCTCGTCCTTCTTGTGTGTCCACCCTGTACGCTGCCATGCGTCCCTCACACAGTAGCAGACTGGCTGGCCCAGCATTGCGGGGCTTGTGTTCAAGGAACCCTCATTCTACTGACGGGTTCTGAAGCACGGGTGAGCGATGTGACCGCCACGCTGGGGCGTTAAACGTGAAAGTGTGGACTGACTGTTTCCATGTGGCAGCCCTGCAGGCCACAGAGGCTAAAACATAGGACGGTATCTATAGACCGTGATATCATCTGTGATTTCAGTCCTGCTGAGGGCCTTGGATTATATACCTGAGGATAAGGGGAAGACTGTTGTGTTATCTGAGTTACTGCAACTCGTTCCTGAATGTCTGTCATGAGGAGTTGAACCAAGAAAAGGTGTGGTGAATGTCGGCGTCTTCCATTTACCCTGGCTTTCCCGGCCTTTTTCTGGCGCTGGCAAAGCTGCTAGAGCTGCCCTTGGGAGTCTGGAGTCTGCGTTTTCTCCCTTCTCTGATCTGAATCTGGTCAGAGCTTTAAAATGTGGCTGCATCTCTCTCTCTCTCTCTCTCTCTCTCTCTCTCTCTCTCTCTCACACACACACACACACACACCTGAGGCCAGAAGGAAGCATCAGACCCCCTGGGACAGGAGGCACAGATGATTTGAGCCACCATGTGGGTGGGTTGAACCAAACATGGATCCCCTAGAAGAGCGATGAGTGCTCCTAACCCCTGAACCATCTCTTCAGCCTCCAGCTGTTATTTTCTTTCTCTGCCCTTGGTCTAGAGCAGTGGTTCTCAGCCTTCCAAATGCTGCAACCCTTTAATACCATTCCTCGTGTTGTGACCTCCAACCATAAAATTATTTTCGTTGCTACTTCATAACTATAATTTTGCCATGGTTATGAATTATAATGTAAATATCTGTGTTTTCTGATGGTCTTAGTCAACCCCTGTGGAAGGGTCATCTGACTCCCAAAGGGGTCATGACCCAAGGTTGAGAATCACATAGAACAATGGCTGGGGGGAGGGTTGGGCCAGTGTGAACTATTTCATTGCCTCAATGGTCCACAATAACATCAAGAGAGGTCTCTGAGCACAAGGTCCCAAGAATCCTACCTGTCAATCTTCTTGGGCCAGTTCTGGCCATCCCAGCACCTCCCTGATGGAAGTGTCCCTCAGAGCTAGGCGGATGGTGTAAAGATCAGAGTCAGGGTAACTGGTGTCTGTGGTAGTTGAAGAGAGACTAAGGCAGACGAGAGGTGAGGCTAAAGGGAGGAGCAGCTTAGCCCCTTGACTTTGAGCTCTTTCTTCTCTATGATCTCCTTGTGCGTTCAGTATCTTCGGGGCCTCAAGAAGTAAGAAATTCCACATTGAGTCTGTTGTGCTCCGAGGGGCCTTTCTGGTAGGTTCACCATTGACCTAATGAACACCAGTCAAGGGGTCAGATGTTTAAGGACTTAAGGTTCCCCTAGGATAGGCGTGGTCAGCTCGGCTCTGTAGCCAAGCCCCATCTGAACAGAAGCACCTAACTGTGGCAAGAACAAGCATCTCCCTGCTTCCCAGTCATGTAGCTGCCCTACGCCTCCCAGGCCTGAGGCTGAAGCTGTCCTCTTAGCTGGTGGCCGGACTGCAGTGTCAGGACAAGATAGTGCTGGGGGAGAGAGAATCCAGATGTCAGCTCTGCCCAGCTTGAGTTCTGTATCCTCACACCTGGGGGTTTGTGTCTGCTGCACATTAATATGGCATGGAAGGGGACCGTTGCTTGGTTACCGAAGTTCTTTGCATAGGGAACGGAAGGAAATCACCAGGCTGAGAAGCCCCAGGGTGGTTGATGGGGTTTCACACTGTCCATGGGGCTGGCCTCCTGCTGCACCTCCTGCCTAGACCCTCAAGGTTGTATCTGATGTGTGGATGGGACAGGAAAATAAATAGCAGATTCCACATAGTCCCCCACCCCACAGTGGGGAGGAGGATGGCATTGGCTTTGCCTTCTTTGCTGATTTTGTCTTTCATCTGCCCTTGGACCATTTTGGGTCTGTTTTTTCCTGTTTCTACTCTTCCTCATTTCATGAATCCGCCCCTCACAGGTTTTTTTTTTTCCTCCTACAATAGCTCAGAAGGATGTCATCTTGAAGGTCGGGCTTGAGCTGTTTTATATAATCACAGAACCTTTTCTGTAGTCAAATATAACTCCTTCTCACTACATCTCAATGAGACCGGAATGCAGACAGCTCAGTGGCCTCCCCTTCTGCTGCCGCCGACTGTATTGTCACTGACTTGGTTAGGACCTAACAGCTCTGGAATTTTCTTCTGCGTATCTGGCATACCTGATGCTAGATAAAACCAACTTTTCTTTCTTTCTTTTTTAATAGAAGTAAGGAACATTTAGAGGTAGTTACCCCCGAGCATAGCTGGAGTAGAGCTTTGCACCCCCACCTCCTTCGTGCCTAATCTTGTCATAAGCATAGCTCCATCCAGACATGTTTACTCCGTGTCCAGTTTCTCAGACATGGCACGGGTGATTGCTTAGAAGATGTGATGCTGAAACCATTGCTAATAGTTCGGTGTGTTGTCCTTCCGACGGGAGCTGAGTCACGTGTCCCTTGGCCCCACCAATGAGTGTTTGCTCCACACCAGAGTTTTAACAGTGTGACCTTGCTGGCCCACCCCAGCATCCATTGAATCTCTGAACTGTTGGAGCATGCGGAGGGGACGAACCTACAGATCCAAAACGGCAGGATGTCCATGACACAGGGCAACAGGGCATCCAAGAAGAACCAGTGTGAACCCCTTATCAGTGGTGTAAGAAGCCAGGCCTGGAGGCAGACCAGTGACTCCAGGAAATAAACACTTGCGAGCAAATATGAGTGGACTGAAGGGTAACCTTCCACAAGATTCTCCGACTTTTGTTTTTATTTTGCTTTGTTTTTGTTTGGTTTGGGTTTGGGTTTTTCTTTTAGGTTTGGTTTTGATTGGGGGCAAGGTTGCCAGTGTGGAAGGTGGATTCAGGACAGGGAGATAAGTGGGATTGGAATGCGTGATGTGAACTCCACAAAGAATCAATAAAAGTTTAAAAAAAAAAAAAAAAGAAACCAGTGTGACCTTGAACTTTCACTTTCTCTATAGGTTCAGTCTTCCCATAAAGAGGAAGGCTGGGAAGGGCATCTGTCCTTCTAATTTTAACATTTTAGTGATCTCTATGAGAGACCAGAGAGAGAGGCTTTTTTCTTTCTTTTCATTTTTATATTGTTTTAGCAAGTGGTGGAAGTTCTTACATTGTCACTGTGCCTTGTTTTCGTCATTGTTTGAGACTAGCCATAAACTAACTTTACTGTAGCCCAGGATGGTTAGCTTGAAATTTGTAGTTCCCTTGTCTCAGCCTCCTGAGAGCCTGTGTCGTAGACATGTGCCCCCTGCTGCCAGCTACTTGATTATAAAAGCGCCATGTTGTTTGGGACCACGAGAAGCACTTCACGTTGTATCTCAGAGACGGTGATGGACGATGATCGCTTACTGGTTCCGTCCCCTATGAAGACAGGAGATTGACACTTATATTTGCATTATAATCCATTGTGTTGCACTTTTTAAAAAGCCCTAGAGGAGTTATTGCACGTGTGCACACGCGTGTGTGAAA